AGCATGGCAGCAAAGCCAAAAATCAATTCTCTAACAGCCACACATGGATCCAAGAGGCCTTTCACAACAAGTCCATAACTAAATGAGGAAAACAGAAAATGCCCTGGCAGCATGTGCAAATGAGAAATGTATTTGCATGACAAAGATGTAAAGTTTAAGTAATGAAAGAGGAAGACAGAGTCCTCTGAAATTAAGAGACGGTAATATCAAAGAAATTCTAAGGAAACCTGTGAGTACTTTTCACACTCAGAAATACTTTTAGTTTGTAGTCTAAATAAAGAAAATATTTCAAGAGAAAATAGGGAAGTAGGGCCTTCCTTTACACCTTAAAAAACATAAGCACTTAAGAACTGCCATTAAAACAACAACAACAAAAGAACAAGAAGAAAAAAGTTTCCTCTGGGCTCAGACCCAGTGAGTCTAAGTTTAAAGACCTTGACTTTCACCTCCCTTACCCCTGAACTCCCTGAGGACAGGGGCCAAGTCTCTGTCCTTTCTCCAAACACAGAATCTGCCACAGGGCCCAGCACATAACAGATCCTATGTAAATGTTTGCCGAAGGAACACATAAAGATGTGCCCTGGTCTGCAGAGTGGGGGAGCAGTGAGTTTTTGTGAATAGAGGGTTTGGAAAGTGCCCAGCACAATGCACAGTCTAAGTCTTAAGAGCATCAACCCAAATATCTGTTTCTTTTAGAAGAAAAATAAAGATCTTCCTGTGCTTCTCCAGGTTTTCAATTTCCTGGGTTTTTTCCTCCAACTGGATATTGCCATATGAAATGGAACTTACAAGTTGGGATCTTTCAAGTTCACACTTAAGTCTGCTGGCATTATTCTGAACCCTGTCTTTAATAGCAACCCCAAGTGCTTGAATCATCATCACAGGCTACCAGAAAGCACTGGCAAATTACAAGTTCAGAGAACAATAAAAAATGCTCACATAGGGCTGGGGATTTAGCTCAGTGGTACCGCCACCTGCTGCAAGGTCCCGAGTTCGATCCCTGGTACCAAAAAAAAAAAATGCTCACATAGCCTAACCTCTTGATCATTAATACTTTGTTCCATGCAAACCTCAAAGGTGGTTCCCCAAGAGTGGTCTCTATGGAAAGAAGGAAGAGAGAAATGAAGGAACATAAAATATGAAGAATATGAGCAGCTGTAACTTGCATAAAGCACCCCATTTTCCTTGGTAGGAAACTATGTTTAATACATGGTGAGGCAGATTCTGGCTGGAGGCAGGGTGCTAAGCCTCCCCTCTGAGGAGGCACTGGGGGTTCCTGGCCTGTAGCCTTGTTTCAGAATGGACCCTGGCTAATGGCAAAGCTTACCTTTCATACTTGAGGATACTTTCTCAGAGACACAGCTGCAGCCCCTGAAACTTTGTTCTAGCATTTATTTGCACATGTTTAAAGTAGCTAGAAAGTGCCACTACAGAAAAGAAGCTCTCTACCTGAAACCAGCAGAAGCTCAATGGGGATAAAGACTCTGGAAAGGTCACAGAAGGGTAAAAAAAAGGTCCTTTCTTCTATGGCTATAGGGGGTTTATTGTTGCTGGTGCCCAAACTGGAAAAGGAATAGCAGGAGATTAATAATTGAAATGTTGCTATTATTGGTTTTCTAAACTATATGTGGGTTATTCTTTCCCTGGGGTCGTCATGCCTGTAAGCAGCTCAGAAGATAGAGGGATTTAACACATTACCGAGAAAATGCCTGCTACAGCTGGGACTTTACTAAATATACTAGTTTCTAATGGAGTCCTCACACAATCCAATAAAGCTGGAAAGTTAAAAAAAAAAAGCTCTGAAAAGTTAAATAGGATGCCCAAAGTCATGTGGCTAGACTCAGATTCGAGTTTCTCTGATTCAAGTGCCATACCACATTGTCCAGAGTCACAGGTAAAATTAATGAGCTTTGATTCACTACTCAAATGTGACAAGCAGGAAGACAATATTTATACTTACTCATTTTAAAAATATAAAACATAAACACAGGAAAAGATATTTTGGGACGTGTGTCATCAATTCTTTTAAGGGAAGATGGTTTAGAATCTCATTTCTTAGTAGAAAGGTGTCTTCAGGTCTGTCTGACAATGGATTTTAGCGTGAGAGTTTCTAGATGCCTGACTATGAAGTACTCCTTGATATAAGCCAACACTAGTCAACATATTGCATCTCAGGTACAGTGAGACACAATTCATTTGGAATTTAGGTCTCTCTAATTCAAACCCACAGCAATCCAGATCTTTGTGGTTGGCTTTTGCACTATACACTAAAAAAGCTCTGCTAAGCAAGTTGATGGAATAAATACAATCACAAGGCAAATGTTCAAGCTTCCAAAGAAAATAAACCTTTTTAAAAGAAGTTTAACTTGATCAGTACCAAGCCCCTGAAAACTAATGTGCTATTTATAAACCTAACCTTGTTAAAGCAAACGCTGGAAGTGATTATACTTTCCTACCTGTCAGATCATATTATCAAATATACCTCGTTTCAAAAACAGCATTCTTATCTAAGTCTTTGGCAGTTCTGAATGTTCCTCTAATGTAGGCAGGCCTTCACTCAGTACTCCAACTCCACTGAAGCAGTTCCAGCCAAAGGCCTCATGTGTCATTATACTTCTCCTTAGAAGAATCACATTCAATTTTTAGGAGCTTAAAACTCATAAGAAATCCCTTTTCCAGGAGAACTCCACAGGAAAAGCCCTGCATATTTAAGAGACACAGAGGGAGTCCACATGCCCTGATAAGGGTATGGTTAAAACCAGGTTGTCACCAAGGAGGGAGAAAGGAGGCCTGAGGAATCTCAGAAGCAGCCCCCACAGTGCATGTACATGGGTCCCAGCATGATCCCTGGCTGTGGAGACTGTGCCTGTTTTAGAGGATGCCCAACAGTCTCTCAGAAAGATCAGGCTGAGCTTTTGGCTGAGGGACACTGAGCTGGTTAAGGAGAGGGAAAGTGCCTGCTTTGGCAGCACATATACTAAAACTGAGGAGAGGTGGGAGGAAGAGTAGGAAAAGAATTATAAAGACGTATAGAGAAACTCTTATAGAATAAAAGGCTACCAAACATGGAGCAACTGAGAAAGCACACACAAAATTGAGGAAAACCAGGGTTGAGAAGGGTGACTGGATGGGTCACCTGTGACACGGAAGGCAGGCTGACAAGGAAAACCTGTGAGCTGAGACCTTTGAGATCATGATTATTCTTAAACCATAACACCTTACACACCTACAGTTCTTATCTGGTGTGATGCACTGAAAGAGCTATGTAATAAAAATGGGAGTGCTGGGTCTCAGGAACAAGGGATGGCCGACACTCCACATGGATTTAGAACGAATGAACATGTGAGCAGCGCAGTTCTCAAGGTGGCTTTGCACAAAGTTGACAAAATACATCCCTACCCACAGACCCAGTCCACTGTAACAGGGAGAGAAAGCAGCAGTCAATAGTCCTGAATTCAATGCCAAGTTCCTTCTCTAATGCTCACCCGGAGTGTCCAGCAGAGGGAGTCTCAAGGAGGTACATACTTAATAAAGAGAAAACTGTTTCATTTTAACACTCTAGACAGTGGGAGCTTTGACTGCAGCCCCCTCCCCTAGACAGATGAACAATGCACGCCCGACGTGGGCTCTCCTGCATGTTCCCATATCCACTGGCATGTTCTCTTCTGCGTGGTGGACTGATCAGAAATTTTGTTTTGCTTTGTCGAATGGTTAAATGGACCTTGTGTTCTTCAGAATCAAAGAGGAAAGCCCCTGGAATAACATCTCTCTGTTGCCTTCTAAACAGCCCCTTTGTTTCTAAGAGAGTCTGAAAAAAAAAATATTTACAGTCGATAGGTTATTTACAGCCTCGATATCCAAGGCCTGACTGGTAACTCTATTCCACCTAGAAACCTAATTCATTTGGAGCCCTGGAACTAATAACAGATTTTCTTTTCAGATAAGTTTTTTTTTTAAAAATCAGCCTCTCCTAACAGAGATAAAACTATTAATGTGATCCCTGTCTCACTTGCCACAACTATTCTCCGGATTTATAGGATTACAATCTCTTCTTGTCCCTCCTCTAGGTTCCATGCAAATCCTTTCCCCTCTCATTTGGGATTTAATCCACAGAATATCTGAACAAAACCGAAAGAAAGCCAGATGGACCGTCACTGAAAGTATGGAAAGGCTGCAATTTCAATGATTTTATGACAGGAACATTTTCAGGATAAAACGAGTGGAAAAATCAGGCATACTTTCGTTGAAAATCCCTCGTACTACAAGTACAAAAAAAAAAATCGAACTGTAAAAACTTAGTTGATTCGGGTTTGATTTCTGAAGGAAGCTCCACGAAACTGACTGAAGAGAAACGGAAGAGTGTGCAAGGCAAATATAGTGCTTTTGCCTTACCTTCTTTTCTTTCTTCCCGAAGACAGTCAAATCGGAAAAAAAATCAGCCAGGTGAAGAAGGTGCACAAAACCGATCTACCCAGACTCATCCAGAAAAAACGTCTCTGCCACCCCTGACTTGAAAGCCCAAACTACCTTCTTCAGACGCTAATGCGGGGAGATTTTAGCCTATTTCATTGTTCTGCCTGGGTCTGAAATGGACTTTTCATCTCTAGCCCCTCTCTCTCCGCCTGGCCCCATACAATCTGATTCCACAGCCACCCCCCCCCCCATCGGAGGCTCGAGAAGAATAAAGAAGCGTGGGGTGGGAGTGGAGAGCAACGGAAAGGGGAGCGGCGAGGAGGGCAGAGAAGTAGAAAGGAGATGTGACCCTAAAGGTAATGGGGGAGGCTAAAAGCATCACCTTCACTGGTCACACAGAACGAAAGCCAGGCGCGGGTCTGTCTTCCCGGTCCCCTCCCGCTCCTTCCTGCGGCCGCGGGCACCCGGCACACCCCCTCACCCCGCCTCGCCCACCCGGAATGCCAGCCCCGAGCCGGGGCCGGGCCGCCCGGAGGGTCGCGGCCCCCACCCAGGCACGAACAAAGCTGGGGTCGGCCGCCCCTTACCTTCGCACATGCGGGCCGTCGGGGCTGGGGTGTCCGCGGCTCATGGCAACGGGCGCGGGAACGCGGCGCGCGGGCTCGGCCCCCCCCGCCTCAGGCGGCTTCTGCCATCTTGAGCCTGCGTCTCCGCTCGCGGCGCCGCCGAGGCCGCCCGCGCCCGCATCACCGCTGCGC